TAGTTGGACTTTTATTATTGTTTCAGTATTTTAGTTGGACTTTTATTATTGTTTCAGTTGGACTTTTATTTAAGTTTACGTATTTTAGTTAGGACTTAAGTAAAGGGCTTGGCCCTATATTTCTAGGTTTTTATTATTTAAACCTATCTTGGTTTGTAATTTGGAATGATGAATTTGATGAAATAAAGAGTTGGTTTTGCAGCCGTTCCCCCTCTCTTCCCCGCCTCTGTCTTCTTCTTCTCTTCCCTCCCCCACCTCTTCCTGTTATTTACTGAATTATTATCCTCCCTACATCAATGGAACCTGCTGTTTTTATAGTAGGACGGAACTTGCTGCTGTTATTTGTAGTTAAATGGAACTTGTTGCTTTTGCTGGATGGAACTTGCTCCTTTTGTTAATAGGATCTGTCAATGTTGTTTTGATAAGATAATTAGAAGCGGAAGTATTGAACTTTGGGTTGTAATATTTTGTTTTGTCACTGATTGTTTTGGCTTGTATGCAACTAATGTTTATGTTTTAAACTCGAAATTCTAGAGGAATATCTACGTTTGAACTCGTATGGAATGTACTAATTTAAATTCGTTGGAAAACTGTGGTTTGAAACAGCACCAATCCACAAAAAAGTGGTTTGGTTTGGACTGGAAGCTGGCCAAAAATCACCTAAAACGAACAGTGTTGACCCCTATAAATAGCCAATCACACTTCAGAAGGTTTACCTTTTCGACCACCATAATGTGGAGCAGTATCCCAAAACTCATCTCTCATCCGGGTGAGTTGTACCCTTGTTATTGGTTCTGAATGCTTCCATGGCTTGGGCTTGCGTATCTTCTTTGCTGTTTCTGCAAACAAAGTTAACAAGGAAATTACTAAAAAGAACTACAACTCTTTAAGCAAATATTGAAGCTACCAACTATCATGCAAGCAGTGTCAGGGAGGTCAAACAAACCTATTATACGCTATATTAAACAGCTCTAACTAGTGATGATAATAGAGGAGAGTATAATAACATACAGTCAAAAATGAAGAAACACAGAAGTCAAATTCTTCTTTCACAACGTATCCAACTAGGACAAGTTCAAGAACATCATTGCTGGCTTCTGCCTTTCAATCTTTGACCTGATTTACCACGCTTATCTATCTTTTAATTATATTAGATATATACTTCTAGTTTGAGACTTTTATAATAAGAATATCATTGACCATACTTCAAGGTTAGATATTAATTTTAAGGGATACCGGATTTGATGACGCTGGTTCTCAGCAATTACAAGAATAGTTAATAAAAAAGGATAGTAAAAAACTAGAGAACAATCTCAAAGATATCTCTGCTGTCTCGTAAAGCTGTAAATCTGTCTTCCAAGAGGAATTTCTCACCACATTCAAACAATATATCAAATACACCTATCCTCTTCTATTAGGGTAAGGTACAGGTCAAGATGAAAAAGCAAGAGGTGACAACTAGGACAAGGAGTGCATGAATTGTCTCCCGATCCATAGACTAGGCTCTGGCTAGTGGCTATAATATTAATAATTCTAAACTATAACCCAAACTTTCGGTTTTTTTATCAATGAATTGCTAGCATTTACTATACAGATTCATCTTCATATCACTCTCATTCTGAAACATAAAGGATGTCTCGAAGTCAATGAAGTCCATGGTCATGTTAGCCAAAAGTACCTAGCTTCTGCGTTTATTTCTAATCATTTCAAGGTAAGTTTTTATCTCTAGCATACAGAATATGCCAGAAATATGTTAGCACATGCGTAAATTAGCACAATGCACATATGTGAATATTTATCATCGCAGCAAGTAGGTTATTGTACTCCAGATATAACGATTGTGTCTGAACTAAGTAGATGCATATCCACCAATAGTCTTTCACATAAAGAAAAAGATTTTGTAAGTACGATCCTTCAGATAATAATGCTAAACCAAGACATTAGTACACAGCCCATCAAACTGATAGCATAGGGATACATATAAAATGGATGGAAATGAGATTAGGCAAGATCTGGCAAGCTATTGGACATCCAAAGACGATTATTAAAGTCCAACGTGACATTTTGGCTGCATATTAGCATAAGTAGAAGTGCTATTGACTTAAATAAACAAACATCCAGTACTTGAAAGACTAGATATTATACATCCTGAAAACAAATTCATCAATCTTATATTCTGAATAAGTTGTCCAAAAATGGTGAAAATTATTATCCTCCAATAAGTAAAATATTCGCATTTCAACTCATCCAATGTCTACTACTGGTAAACTAATAGTATTGCTAGCATTTCAGTTTGATTAAACGGTCCATTATAGCATCATCGCATTAAAAGTACCATAGACAAGAAAAGCACTTGGACATATTCTTAAACAGGGGACAAATGATACTCAGTTGAATAGGCTTCAACAGCTGAAGAAAAATGTTAAATGAAACGCAAACACGTTTAGTGCCTCATAATTTGAATATAACAAGGCAGTTCCTAATAATTTAGTCGAAAGCAGATAATCAAGTTGTAATGAATCTCTACAGTACTAATTCAAATGCCTCAACAGAAGTTCTAACACATCTCAAACAGATTACCATGATAAGATTACAATCAATTACTCTGGCCACAAAACAGGGAAAAAAAATGATTATGAGAAATAAAATTCTTGCAATGTGGTAAGTTTTCTATGTGAATGAACCACATTTCTAAATTTTGCACGTGTTCCTGGCAATTCATCACAGGCCCAGCAAGTTCTTGTAAAGTTTCCACGAGTAAATTATACATAGAAAATAAGGGGTAGGGTGTGAATAAACAAGATTACCTAATAATAATAAACATCTATAAGCCTCGAGATTTAATCTAACAACACGGAAAGGCAAGCAGTTCAAGAACCAGAATGAATAAACAAGATTACCCAATATTAATAAACATCAATAAGCCTCAAGATTTAATCTAACAACACAGAAAGGCAAGCAGTTCAAGAACCAAAATTATTCAAAACCCACAATCAAATGGTCCAATAAGTAAAGATAACAATAACAGTTTTTAAAACATAAAATTTCAAGAAAATATCAAAGAGTACCATATCTTTTATCGCGCGATCCAGCGCAACCCATGCTGTGCGTTCGCACGCGATCGAAGGGTTCTCCCTAAAATTTCCACTCCCTGCAGTTCAATTGAAATACAAACACTATCCACTTGTATTAATATGGAAGAAGAGATAGTCAAATTTTTATCTTGAGTTTTTTATTCCATTGAAAAAGAGTTGATGCATGAATACAGCTCTCTCTCTCTCTCTCTCTTCGAAGACAGCTATATGCTTGAATATTTTTTTCGTAATTGTAAATGGAGATTATTCGTACTCCTGGGGATCCTGTTTCATTCGAGGAGTAAACCCCGTTTCAACCCACAGTAAACAAATGGGAGGGGAACCTTTTTTCGTTCGAAAACGGTGAAGAAAAAAAATTAGAAACAATACAAAATCAAATTTTTGAAATGAATTAATTGTTTATTTATTTTGTTGATTTTCAATTTACGCCCATTCCATTTTTTCAAAATTTATTTTCAAACAAAACATTTTTTATAAAATAACTTTACAAGTAAATTTAAAACTTTTTCCTTATTTTTAATCACAAATTCTTCGAAAATTAACTATTTAAAAATATATTTTAACCCAAAAAGTGGGATTCAAAAATAAATAATAATAATTTTTTAATGTGTATATTTGATGATGAAGGCATTGATGGGGAGAGATTTTTAAAAAAAATATTTTCAATCGTAAATCTATGAGACTTTATTTTTTATTATTTTTAACCATTTATTTTTTGCAAAATATATTTTTTACTTGAAAAAACTTCTTCTGACAAGTGCTTACTGTTCGATAAATAAATACTTTTAAATGGAACTATTAATTGATTGAAAAATATAGTTCATGTTTGGTATGGTTAAAAATTATATATTTAGTAGATTTTAATAAAAATTTGATTGAATTCTTGATTGTAAAAAATGTGATAAAATTAATTATTGACTTTGACTTAAATTTTTATTAATTTTTATGGTACACCAAACATGTAATCACACATCACGTGTAATAAAAATAAGAATAATTTCTTTCACACCAAATTTTTAATTAGCTATATCACATTTTAAATGCAATGAAAAATCCTAAAATCTTGCTTATTTTTATACTTACTAGTCAACGTTGAACGTGGCGTTGTTCGTTATTATAAAATACTTTATAAGTGTTGTACAAATAATCTTTGAATATGTGTGAATTCTAATTAATTTGAAATTATTATCAGGGAATATATACATGACAATGAATGTTAAATTATTTATTAATTTTCAATTAAGTAAAATCGGACGTTAATTAGCATAAATGAATGTGAATAATGAAATATATTTTTGAATGTGAAATTCTAATTAATTTATAATTAGAACTAGTAACACTGAAACGCATAAATGAAGTTGAATATTAATTAAATGAATGTGAATGTTAAAATTAATTAATTGAGAATTAATAATAAGAAATTCATACATTGATGAAAGCACACAAGTGAAACGAATGTATCAAATGTAAATATAGATTGATGGTAACTAAATTGTTGAATAAATTAAATACATATTAAAAAGCGAAAAGTAAAGTATTATTGAAATAATTGTATTATAGTATGATTAAAATCGTTCAAAAAATGATTCTTATTTGATGTGATATTTAATATGTTAGTAATTGATGGAACGGAAGAAATTACAGGCTTTCCATATGTTTATTCGTGTGTGCTATGTTTGTGTCTTTACACTGAAATCTTGGTGACTATTGGTGAGTATTTTTCATCGATTTTTGGTAGCATAGTTTTGAGGGTTTGTTCAAAGTCATTAACCTTTTTTTTTTTTTTTTTTAGAAGGTGTCCAATTCTTGACTAATCCTTAGGTCTATGATCCGACCCCTCTTCACACAGTCCAGTTAATCGCGGGATGTGCCTCCAACTAGCTAGGGTCCGAGTCCTCCCCACATGATCTGTCAAAGTGCCAAGCAAGCCAATCCAAAGTCATTACTTATTAATATGTCTGGACATTGATTTTGGATAGTTATAATACCCAAAAGTAATATAGTATAATTTGACCCGCTCTTTTGATCCACCAGATTGACAGTTTTTTATCATTCCTCATATAATCTTCTAATTTTACCTTTTATAAAATATTTATTTCCAACCGATAATTTTGTTTAGAACTAACTTTTAAATAAAATATATTAATTAAAAAATTACATTATAACTAGAAAATTACTTGTAAGTGAAATATTACTTATATGATAAAAAATCACTTTTGTGTAAAAAAATGTTTATAAAGTAAAAACACTATCAAAAATTTACTTATAAATTATAAAAGTTGCTTATAAGTAAAAATTCGCTCATGTTTTAAATTCTACAAAAGTACAAAATTAAAGTATAATTGCAAAGTTTCCTTATAAGTAAAAAATACTAAATATTTGACTTTTGTAAATTGAAAATTTCACCAAGGGATATATATGATCTCCTAAGTATCGGTGCTTAACTTATACTAAGCACCGATAAAATAACACATCATTTATTTATGAATCATCAAATACATATGACCTACCATTAACTTACTCACCAATTAAATAGCGTTCCATGTCAACGATGCTTAACATAAGTAATAAGTTAAGTACTGTTGTTCAGAAGATTATTTTCGTGTATGTGTGTGTCTATATATATATATATACACATGAGTTAGGCTATTTAAAAAAAAAACATTTAGAATGAGTGGATAATAAACTTTCAAACATGGGTTAGACTATTTAAAAAACTGATAGTAAAATCACTCAAAATCAGTCCTCTCATAAATGCTCAAAAACGATTCTTTGAAAAACACTTATAACCGATACCCCAAATCTCCCAAGCAGGCCCTTGATAACCTGTTCTAAGTTTTATTGGTGTAATTAGTTTCAATTTTCAAGAAGTTAAGAAACTTAAAAAGTTCGTGTTTCGATGCATATGTTTGCTATCAAAGGTGTATTTCAAGAACATCATCAATCTCGAGATGGTGAATAAGTTCCATTAAATTCAACATGCACTTTTCTCTTTTATTTTCAGCAACATATTCTTCAATAAAATTATACATAAATTCAAAAAAATTCTTCTTTTTTTAATCACATATTTTTCAAAAATATCACTATTATAAAATATATTTTTTTCCTCGAAATTTAATTTGAATGAAGCCCGAACGAGGGTTAATAGTGCTTTTGTTTGTGTAGGTATTTCATTGAAGACTAGAAGTTGTCCCCTTGTTTGATCCCTATTTTTTCATCAAAATACATTTTTAAACAATGATTTGACCTAATTTTAACCACACATTTTTTCAATAAAATAATATTACACGTAAATCCAAAAAATTTACTTATTTTTTAGTAACGCTTTCTCCATCATAACACTATTACTAAATGAATTTTTTGAAAAATGGGGCTCGAACAAGCATGTTTCTGGCACAGTACTTAAATTTGTTTACATTTTGAAACTTACGAAATTGGAAACTTTAGAATTTGAAAATCTAAATTCTTTCATTGCCACTATTTTTCATGTCAAATAACCAAAAAAATTAACACTTTAGAACTATAGTTCTTATTGATTGTATATCTCTTCTTTGGATTGCTTGGGTGTGTCGAAGTAGTTGTATTTTATTTATTGTCTAATTGATTATGTCCTAGTATGCTTGTAAATGATTTTGATCAATACAACCTTCTGCCAAAGTTGAGATGAGACTCCCATGTACGGAACCTTGAACCTTTGCTTGATATAGGTACAATGTCTGTGTCCATATGATAGGTTGAACGCGAACACCTGATAGTGATTTATAATTTCAATTAATAGAAGAAAATCCTCCTAGTAACGTTTCCATGCATGATATGCCCTTCTACTTACTGAAATTGCAGAAATTTCTTCTGTTTAACCTTTTATGTGAAATGAAACAAATTTTGTACGAAAAATCTCCCAACTGTCCATTTTCATTAATTTAACTGTTAAAAACTATAAAAATTGCCAAAATTAAAAAGGAATAATTGCAGTTGTGATCCTGAACTTTTTATTTATTCATTTTGACAGTTTTATTGTTTTCAACTGTTAAACAAATGGAATTGGACGAAAGTTAGGTTTTTCACACAAAAAAAAAAGATTATTTTGGTAATAATGCATTCTTAAATAATGTATTGATGGGAAATATGTGGTTAAAAATTAATGAAATTTTTTTTATCTACGTGTAATATTATTTTATTGAAGAATGTGTAGCTAAAATGATGTCAAATTACTGTTTAAAAATGTATTTTTTTGAAATAATGTGGCTCAAACAAGCCCTATATTTCGCACAAAATGTTTCAACACAAGGGTTTTATGTGATTTTCAATAGGAATGGAATATATTACACACAAAAATGTTTCTAGGGGGCTTACTGCTATTATTCCTTTATAATTTCATTTATCTTTTAAGTGCAAACACGAAATTTCAAATTTATTTGAGAATCTTCAACCACATGGAGAAATAGAAGATACAAACTACTCTACTCTACTCATGAAGGGTGATTATGAGAGAAGAACACAGTTGAGGGGATAAAACTTAAAAACTTATACACTCAAATACATCGAATTTAATTGAACATTAATTTCGATACATCGAACATTGGGTCCCACTTAAAATTGTGATCAAAGTTGACCCAATTGACCCACCACTTCGAACACAAACTTCTGCCAAAGCTGAGATGAGACTCCCATGTACGGAACCTTGAACCTTTGCTTGATATAGGTACAATGTATGTGTCCATATGATAGGTTGAACGCGAACACCTGGTAGTGATTTATAATTTCAATTAATAGAAGAAAATCCTCCTAGTAACGTTTTCATGCATGATATGCCCTTCTACTTACTGAAATAGCAGAAATTTCTTCTGTTTAACCTTTTATGTAAAATAAAACAATTTTTGTGCAAAAAATCTCCCAATTGTCCAATTCCATTAATTTAACTGTTAAAAACTGTAAAAATTATCAAAATTAAAAAGGAATAATTGCAGTTGTGATCCTGAACTTTTTATTTATTCATTTTGACAGTTTTATTGTTTTTAACTGTTAAACTAATGGAATTGGACGAAAGTTAGGTTTTTCACACAAAAAAGATTATGGGAGCGTTTGAGTCACATTATTTTGGTAATAATGCATTCTTAAATAATGTATTAATGGAAAATGTGTGGTTAAAAATTAATGAAAAGTTTTTTGATCTACGTATAATATTATTTTATTAAAAAAAGTATGGTTGAAATGATGTCAAATCACTATTTAAGAATGTATTTTTTTGAAATAACATGACTGAAACAAGCCCTATATTTCGCACAAAATGTTTCAACACGGGTTTT